CTTCTGTGTTCCAAAATGACCCCTTACCCTCCAAGTGGGGGGGGGGCGGGGGGAGCCCGAGGTCGAAGTCACAGGGCCCAAGCACCAAAGAATCCCCCCAAATTTAGGCGTTGCCACCCACCTGCGAGGCCCACCTAGGGGTTTAGGGTTTCGGGTTTAGGGCTTAGGGTTTGGGGTTTAGGGTTTAGGGTTTGGGGTTTAGGCTTTGGGGTTTAGGGCAAACTGTTAAATCGCGAGTGTCCGAAAAATCGCGAGTGTCCGGCGGCACAAGCCGGAGCAATTCCTAAGCCACCTCGCCCCCACCCAAGAACAGAAGACAAAGCAGTTTAGGGTTTAGGGTTTAGGGTTTGTTGGCAGCCCTAAACCCTAAAACCTAAACCCCAAACCGGGTGGCAAGAATGCAAAAACCCTGAACCCCAAACCCTCAAACCCTGAACCTACGCCCCAAACCCTAATCCCCAAACCCCTAAACCCTCCAACCCGTAAACCCGAACCCCCTGAACCCTGAACCTCTAAAACCCTAAGCCCCAAACCCCTAAACCCTGAACCCTAAACCCCAAACCGCAAGGATGACACGCACAAATCGAGAAGTGTACCAAGGCGAAACCCCAAACCCAAAACCCTTAAGCCCGAAACCCGAAACCCCCCACCCGCGAGGCATTGTCGGATGCTCTGGAGGCCCTCCGAGTGAACGTGGCCCTTTCGTGTCAATAGAGACTGGGGACTCCGGCAAGCTTCCCTTCTAAAGCCACCTTTGAACCCAAAATGTCACCCTTGCTGTTTTTGACCTACTCTTGGTTCTAGCTTCCCTACCACCCTACTGCTCTTAACCCGAAGCCGTTTCCTGACAGCCGAAGCTTGCACATCATCGGCCCTAGTTGAGGGCACCACCGTCTTTGGTGACTCCCACACGGGTTCTGGCACAAGCCCTACTGGATCGGGCTTTGGGGCCGTGAGGACTCCTCTGTATGCTGAAGTTGCCGCGTTTTTAGGGTCTAGGGTTTAGGGTTTAGGGTTTAGGGCTCAAGGTTTAGGGGCTTACGGCCCGGGGCCTGACTGGCCTTGGGAGTCCCATGTCCTGAAGCCCTGTGCAAACTGCTCCAAATCCTTGAAAACGTTAGTGTAGGAATGCTTGGAGGTTGACCAGAACTATGGGCCGTTTTCTGAAAGATATTCTATGGTAGTCTATTCGCAGAAATTGGCCCGTAATTTGGTTCAACACCTGCTTCCGGCTGGGGCCGGGGGCATCGCAGAGACCAGGGGCTTGGGTGTTGCCGAGTTCCTCCATTCGCTTCCCCCAGTCGCCCTCCCTGGACGTGAGCAGGGACGGTTGGAAGCCCCTAGGCCCGAGCTCAAAGCGCGCTTGAAAAGCGGATCTCGAAGAATACCTGGGTTGGATCACCGGGGGCCCTCGACTTGTGTGTTGTAGCTCTACTAAAGCACCTGAAGCATGACGTTTAGGGTTTAGGGTACAGGTTTGCTGGTTGGCACACAGCCCCTGGTCTTGTGATACATTTCTCTAATTCGAGTGTGCCCTGCTGTCCTGTTACTGTGTCTGATTGGGCCACCTAAGGGCCCCTCCCTCCCAATCAAATCCATGTGACCAATGGCCAGTGCCAATTGCACACAGGAGCCTAGAGAAATCCCGACCTAGCATTGTCCCCTCATGAGCCCTCAAACTACATGAATAATCTTCGAATCACATGGATCACCACATCGTGCCCAGTCTCGCTAATGAACCAGAAAGAAGAGGCACCTACTTGTTCAGCTTGGCTTTCCTCCACCCAAATCCTAGACCCCCACCCCCTCCTAGACGCCAAAGCATTGCGCATACCTTTGAAGCCACATTGCCGCGGTTTCCGCGCGCTGGTTAGACCCTGGAGATCGTAACCCGAATGCCTTTCTAACCCTAAACCCTAAACCCTAAACGCTAAACCCTAAACCCTAAACCCTAAACCCTAAACCCTAAACCGCCTATTTCTGGCACCTTGGATGGGCAGGCGGATGCTCAATCAACCCAGACCCACCGGGAGGAACCCTAAACCCTAAACCCTAAACCCTAAACCCGAAACCCGAAACCCTAAACCCTAAACCCTAAACCCGAAACCCGAAACCCTAAACCCTAAACCCTAAACCCTAAACCCGAAACCCGAAACCCTAAACCCTAAACCCTAAACCCTAAAGTAGATCCCTGCACGGGCTCCTAAGAAGGACCCAGGAGTAGTATAGGGCACTACACCCACAAAACCCTTCAAGCCCTGCAAACCTTACTTCGGGGGCTCTACCCACGAGAGAAAGGGTGAAGGAAAAATCTAGGGGGCTCTACTTTTTAAATGGATTTATATACTAAACCCGAAACTCTAAACCCCAGACCCTAAACCCCTAAACCCCTGAAGCCGTCAAGGATCCTCCCAACAGTCCGGGTATACTGTGGCATCCGAGCAGTCGCGTTTTTTCAGCTACGCACAGCCTGGCTGCGTACGCAGTGAGGAAACCCGGACTTGAGGTAGCCGCTGGGCGGCTTAGGGTTGAGGGTTTAGGGTTTTTGGGTGCAACACACCTCGGCATGTAGGTTTAGGGTTTTAGGGTTTAGCCTAATTACCTCAAATCGTCCATTGCTATCAGATCCCTGGCCTTTTGTGGGAGGATCGGGGGGGGAGGTGGAACCCAAAACCCTATTGTAAACCGAGGACTTTGTGGGTGGTTTACGGCTCAGGGTCCTCGGGGGACCGATCCAAGCTGTGCGCGCAAAGCGCGTTTCGCCATGCATGGCGGCATCTTGGGCAGCGTGAATTCCACGCGCGGTGCCGCACGAATCAAGAACTCTTGAAGCCTTAGCTTGGGTCCCTCCGGTATAGGACCTCTTTGGGGGTACTTGAGACGCTTTCGCTGGCCTTGCAGAGGGGTATGTGTCAGAGGGTGCACAGGACCAAGCTAGGTACTGTTTTGCAGATCCGTGATGCTCGCAGCTTCACTCGGAAAGAGGTGGAAGCCGCCACGGTAGGGCCATTCTAGGTGGCCCATGGTTCCCCGCACTGTCGAGTCTTCCGTGGGTGGCTCGCGACGTTCAGCAGCTTCGTCCGGCAAATGGTGGAGCTCGCTGGAGACCGCGCTGCCCTGTGTGCAAATTCAGCCTCGGGGCGCAGCCAGATGTCTTCCTTGGTGGTGAGGGGTGTCCAGCCGCTCCGTGCCCCTCTAAGGTCACCCCCCAAAAGCGCGAGCTATGGAATGTCTAGAATGATAAGACCCCCAAATAGTGGGATCCCTTATAAGCAGGACACCTATAAGGTACCCCTTATTTCGGAAAACCCTAAACCCTAAACCCTAAACCCTAAACCCTAAACCCTAAACCCTAAACCCTAAACCCTAAACCCTAAACCCTAAACCCTAAACCCTAAACCCTAAACCCTAAACCCTAAACCCTAAACCCTAGACCCTAAACCCTAAACCCAAAACCCCCCAACCCCTAAACCCCCGAGTTGCCTTGTAAAAAACCAGAAGGCCTTAACTCCATGAGAGTTGTGAGTGGGCGGGTTTTGGGGTGGGTAGGTCAGCAGACGAATGCAAAGCGCGCTTCCGTTTAACACGGCCCTAAAGCCTCCTACACCCTCCCTAAACCCGAAACCCCAAACCCTAAACCCTACACCCTCCTAAGCCCTAACTCCTAAACACAGGCTCAAGGCGCTTTGAGGGGCGCGTCGTAAACCTTAAAAACCGTTGTAAGCCCTGAAGCCTACACTTTTTTCAGGCAGGCGGCAGAATCAGCGAAAAAAGACTTGAAATATAGACGTCTTTCAATCTAAAGCCCTTGGAAGCTCATAGACCCAACGGTCGCCGGAGCGCCTCAACTGTCAAGTTGAATGGGGCATCCCTTCCCGCGGTGTTTCTGCATCTGGCACGGCGCCTGCGGCAAAAAGACGGCCGACTTCGGGGGTTACGAAGAACCGCTCGGAAAAGGCGCGGGCGACGGTGGTGATTTGGGACTCCACATTAGGCCTGGGCACCTAGAACAAAAACGCTAAGCCCTAAACCAACAAAGCCCTCGAGCCTAAACCGCCCGGCTTCAAGTGCTGGGGTCGTGGCACGCGTACAGGGCTGAGATGAGAGTTTAGGGTTTAGGGTTTAGGGTTTAGGGTTTAGGGTTTAGGGTTTAGGGTTTAGGGCGATTAAAATCCTCCGTCAGATTCAGGAAAACGTGGGCGATTCCAGCAATACTTAGGCACAGATTTTGATGGCAGAACTGACACCATGACTCCTCCAGATTTTGGGCTTACAAGGGGCTTGAGGGCTGGCGCAAGCAGATCGTGTGAGGACGCTTTGGGTGAAGGATTGAGCCCAAAAACATCGGTAAAACCAATGTTACCCATAAAATCCATGGTTCTCAAACCATGTGGCTTAGACCACGAAAGGCATGGATGACATTGGTTTTACCGATGTTTTCGGGCCCCATCCTTCAAAAACATTGGTAAAACCAATGTTATCCGTGAATTGGGTGCTCCCAGCCAGAGGGGGGGGTTCAGGAGGGGTTTTTGAGGGGGTCCCAGGGGTGTCCCAGCCACAAAAGGGCAGAAGCGCCAAGCGTTTTTTTGGCTCGCGGGCCAAAGGGGGACTCCTGAAGGCTCAAAAAACCCCCCCCAAAACCAAAAAGTCTCATTAAGGTTTAGATATTCCTAGGTAGAGAAGGGCGGGGTGATGAGCCGGATTGCCATCGATCTAGCTCGTGATGACCGTCTTGTAGCCCTAGAACGTACAACTACGCACGAACTCCTGCGTTTAGGGTTTAGGGTTTAGGACCTGCCAGGATGGGCAATTACACCCTATGATCCCTTAACAAAAGGCCCTTTATAGGGTTCATGATGGGGGCTTTAAGTCTATAATCCCTGAAAAAGGCCCTTTATAGGGTTCATTATGGGGATTGTAAGTCTATATAATCCCTTAAAAGGCCCTTTATAGGGTTCATTATGGGGAGTTTAAGGCCCAATAGCCTATCCTGGTGGTAGGAGCCGAGTGCACGTGAACGCCGTCGTCAGCAGCTATGCAGAGCAGGGCAGGCGGCAGGGTTTAGGGTTTAGGGTTTAGGGTTTAGGATTTAGGGTTGAGGGTTTAGGGTTTAGGGTTTGGGGATTGGGGTTTGGGGTTCGGGGTTTAGGGTTTAGGGTTTCCCTCGCTACTTCAATCCGCAACCCCACCCTGCAGCCCTACTTGGAGGTTCATGGTACTTATTAACGCAAGCATAGCTGTCCTTATCACCCAACTATACCCATATCAGGGCACTTCAGGGGCTTATACGTTACAAGCACAGTTATACTTGGTAAATAAGAACCTCCAAGTACCCTTGACCGAAGCAGCGAAGGCCTGTAGAACCCTAAATTCAGTGCAAACGCCTTCAGCCACATTGGGTTTAGGGTTTGTGCGACCCCGCCATATGTGTGCATGAAAGCTGCACGCCCTGTCAAGCGAAGCCCATGTAGGGTGCGCAGTATGCTGCACCCCGTCATGACACGAAGAACTAACTAGGAGCCCAGAGCCGCCAAACCCCAAATCTGACCCTACACCCTCGTCACCTGGGGCATTGTTGAGGTGGCTCAGGGCCAGCGCGTTGCTGGAAGAGGCCTTTTGGCCCTGAATGGCCCTGTCCCACGTTGTCAAGGGTTTGGGGCCTCTAGGGGGGTTTCGGGTTTAGGGTTTAGTGCAGCGTCTAGGGTTTACGGTTTAGGATGTTAGGGCTCAGGGTTTGGCTACGAGACCGGCACTTGACACTTGACGCTGCAATGTGTTGCCATGGTCTCGAACAGCGACTGCAACAACCTGTGTTCATGTGTTGGGCATGCTTAGGAAAGGCGCCGCGTTCAAAGTGACACCTGATGCGGAGAGTCACCTCAATGAGTATTCTCCTTCAAGCCACGAATCACCTGAGCACGAGGTATTCACACACTAAACTGCAACACCAAGAGCGCTGTGGCATTGAAATCAGGTGATCTTGTATATGAGCTTTATGGGATAGCCCCAAGAGGAGTCAAACCACTTAGGCTACAACACATAAGAGCCTTGTGACATTCACCTACTCCGCCTACCCCCCTTCCAGTTCAACTAATCACAAATTATAATTGAAGCAAGTAGCTGCTTCAACCCTCATCCTGGCGGAAATAAGTAACTCTCTTCATATAACATAGACTCAAGGTTATCTACTCAATGGGCGATTCTTCTAACGGGGCTGCCCGACGACTTCATTTAAGCATACACTCCTTGTTTCTATTTGCCCTCTTTGTTCAAGTTGATTTTCTGAATTGCCTTACGTTGTTTCTGAGCATTCGGTTGATTCGGGGTTCGAGGTCAGCGCGCTGTTCTATGGGGGAGGGGAGGCGGCAGGGAAGCAGAACATATTTCGTGCACGAAATAGTTCTAGGTTGTACATCGACTAGTATGTATGTCCGGGGCTGTCGCAAGGGAATGTGTAAACATGTACTGTAGGGGGGGGATAGGCGTCAGCCGACATGAAGAGGAGCGCTTTGGCTTTAAGAGTTATGTTTTTGTTTTGGTGTTGTTGTTGTCCTGCCTCTTGTTACTATTGCCTTCCCTTTGCTCTTGGTAGCCCAGTGGTACCCTTTACCCTTTTTTTGGGTTTTGGTTTCCCTTTTAAAGTAACCAACCCCCAAAAGGGTGCCCTTATTATGACGTAGCTGGGCTACCAAGTGCTGGAGGTGGATCTCGTGGGCTTGAACTCACTGCTCGCTGCCTGCGATGTATCGGCAGCTTGGGACAAGGCCCGGCAAAGAAAGACCCTAGACCCTAAACCCTAAACCCTAAACCCTAAACCCTAAACCCTAAACCCTTGAACCCTGAACCCTGAACCCTAAACCCTAAAGAGGGAACATAGTGTAGGGTCTAGGGTGGGAGGAAAAGGGTTCCTCCAAATCAGCGAGGCGTCAGCAGGCCCCAACTCTTCTGAAAAAAAAAAGGGAAGCCCACCCACAGTGAAAGCTCCCTCCCCCCCTCCCCGCGCCCCCCACAACCCCCCCCCCCCCCCCCCACCCCACCCCAACCCCCCCCCCCGGCCCCCAACAACACCAACCCCCCCCCCCCCCCCCCCCAACCAACCAACCACCCCCTCCAACCAACCCCCCCCCCAACCAACCCCCCCCCCCCCCCCCCCCCCCTCTGAGACTTTCACCTCTTCTGAGAGCCCAGTGGTACCCTTTCCCCTTTTCTTTGCTTCAAGGTTCCCTTGTAAAGTAACCAACCCAGGGTTTAGGGTTTAGGGTTTAGGTTTAGGGTATCAAAAACAACTTGACGAACCCTTGGATCCTTGAGAGGCCCTGGGCTTTGTTGCAGCCTGGGAAAGCCGCCGGTTGAGGTGGAGAGCAGGGACTTCTCTGCTTTGTCAGTTAGGGTTTAGGGTTTAGGGTTTAGGGTTTAGGGTTTAGGGTGTAGGGTGTAGGGTGTAGGGTTTAGGGTTTAAGGTGCTTTGTTAGAAGGGTTTCAAGGGGAAGCCTTTGAGCCTTGTTGGGGCGGGGGGGGGGGGGCCTCCTGTGGGTGCTTTTTTGTTTGCTGTCGGTTTTGTGACCTTAGAGGCCCTTTGGGTAGAAGTGCTGATCCCGCCAGGGTTCAAAGAGGGTTTCTTGGTACCGAAACCCTGAACCCTAAAGCCGAAACCCTAAACCCCAGTTTTTTGCCTGCTTCAGCGAGTGCGAGAGTCGAACCCTAAACCCTAAACCCTAGACCCTAGACCCTAAACCCTAAACCCCAAAACCCTAAACCCTAAACCCTAAGCCCTAAACCCTAAACCCTGGGATAAGGGCTCCTTGCTTGGGGTGCACCAGGCCTTCGGGTCGTTTGGGGTGCCCGTCGCGGCAGCAACCCTGGTCGGCGTGTTCCAATCAAAGTTTGGGGTTTAGGGTACGGGGGGCAACCGAAGGAGGACAGGGAACAAAACAGTCAACCCCAACAGAAACCCTTGATTCCCCTGGAACAACCAACCACAAACCAACCCAAAACCCAGAGTTTTTCTTTTCTTCAGGGCACATGGCCCAAGTTCTTGAGCCAAATAGTAACGGGTACGTTGACCCTTTTTTCCTTCAACACCAACTCTTTCCTGAATACAAACTGCAACTCCGCACTCCCCCTGTCCTAGGATTTCCTAGGACACAAACTGGAGGTGCAGACTTTTGACCGAAAAATTGTCGCTTTGACAACGGTCATCTTCATGTTTAACGTCCGATGGACGGGCCATAGCCATTAATTTGCACACCATGGTTTTACGTCTTTCCAGGACGAACCTTCAGCTCATGGGCCGAATCCCTTACCATTGAGGATTTCTTCACCTCACATTTGAAAAAGTCTATGTTCCAGCGGCCCGTTCCTCACCAAGGAACTCAGCATTCACCACCCAACCTTTCTTGACGCAATGCTTACAAAGCGTCTTGGCCCTGGGCTGTGAATATCGCAGAACATCACAGTCACTGCTTGCGTGCATACAGTTCCCACCCACCGTTGTATACAAAGTGGCACTCGCGGGAATAACCACCACTTTCCTGCCCCACAGCCATTTGTACAGCCTCCGAAAGAGATACCTGGCCAATTCCCAGAGTGTGATTGTTGCCACCAAATACACAGCGATGTCCGCATTGTTGATAACCATTTCAATACTTTGAGCCAGAACCATAACCGTAGATGTGTTGGCGACCCTGCACACCCCTTCTTCTGAGCAAAAGAATCCAGCATTTGACGCTTCTTCTCCACCTGTTGCCATCCCTTGCAGAGATGCAGCCACCATCATGACCGCCATTGCAAGAGAGGCCCTTTTCAAGTCAGTTCCTTGCACCAACGTTTGGAGACCCCAAAGCGCCTTTTGCTTCGCGTAAACCTGTCCACTCATCAATTTTGTCAACAGGTCAGCAATCATATACTCACCACGAAGATGTGCTATCACCATGTAACCACGGTCCACCAGAGACCTGACACCGGCTGCTCGAATTCTCAGGTGTCTTGTCCTCCAGCTTCCAGCCGGATATTGAATGATTGAGCACGTCGAAACCGAATCTGTATACAGCACTTTTTGCAGCGATTCTTCACCAGTTCCAACCAAAGCGGCAATTATAGGGGTACACGACTGAATCATCGTTGCTCCCTCTATAGACGCATGCAACTCAGCTTCAGCAGTGCTCAAAGCCACCGTTGACTGTCTCTGCGTTGCCCACATCACCGGACAATCACCCCAAACCACCACCGCTCCTGAGTGGCTCTTTTCGTTTTCACCTGCTGCAAAGCTAGCATCTGCGTAGGACTCTACCACCTTGACGCCTCGCCCATAACGCAACACCTCATTCCTTTCTTTTTCGCATGTTGCGATTGCTCCGAACGTCAAGCCTAACGTTGGAGTTGCAGCAAGGTATCGAAATACCTCCTCAGCCTTTTTAACCACAAGTCGCGGCCTTCGGGATGTCCACAAAGACAACTGGCTTGTGCAGAAAGCCAAATCAGGTCGAGTTTTGATTGCCACCCAGAGGAACTCCCCTACGGCACCTTGAGCCGCTCGCAAGGAAGGAATATCCACCTCCTCTTCTTCACCTGGAGTTTCTTTCACCATTGGCAGGTTACTACCTTTTCCAGTTTCATCAATCTGATACCCTCTTCGGTTCAGCAAATCTCTCACAAAGTCCTCCTGATTGAGAAAGAAGCTGCCATTTCGATACCAGATTTGGACACCCAAAAACTTCAGGAATCCATCACCACAGCCTGGACCACAGAACTCGGGTTCCGAAGTTTTCCACTCCTTCCTGATCTGTTCCAAGGCTTCCCGGAGCACTGTCATCGTCCCAGCCATCAAAAAATCATCCACGTAAAGACCCATTGTCCCTACCAACTTGCTTACACCTTCCGGCTTCTCTTGTGCCATAATAAGGAACAGACTTGGGTCTGCATTGGACCTCTGAAAGCTCATTGCTTGTCCATCCTTTGACACCCAAGACATGCCTTGAAGACGCTGATCTCGCCACTCCACCCATGCTGCAGGACTTTCGGCTAAACCGTACAAGGCCTTCCTCACAATCCACCGCTCCTCCTTTGTACAAAGACCCAATTTCACCGCCGCCCTTGGGGGCTGCACCACCACCAGACGCCCTTCTCTTTGCGCCCTATTCATCGGCGCCGTCAGAAAAGCTTTGGAAATGTCTAAGCCAGCGATGATCCACACCATATATGCTGCGTGCCTCACTTGACGCCTAAATGTAGTTGAATCTAAACCAGGAGCGTGCAGCGAGTGACGACTGAGGGACCTCGGCCCTTCGTATTCTGTAGCTGCTGTTGACGAAATAAAATTGCCGCATGCACAAATACGGGCACGTCGCCTCCCTGTCCCTTGCTTCCGGGTAAACACCACCAGACTGGGAACGTACTCAATCACCGGTGCATTAGGCTCTTCCGCCAATTTGTCCAGCTTTTCTTGAGTTGTTGGTTCCACCACCTCCAACTCTTTAACCAAAGACGTCACCTCGTCCGACAATGATTCCCTCCACTTTTCCAGCTCTTGCATGGCTTCTTGTGTAGGAATTGTTTTTGTTTGCAGGAACTCAACTTCCTCTGCTGCCTCAAGCGCGGTATTTTCTTGCACCATTTGCTGAACTTGAGCTGCTTTGACCAAAAACTTCGAGAGCTGTTCCTCGGTTCTTTTTGCTTTAACCAGCCATTCTCTAGTCTCTGATCCTTTTTCTCCATTCGACTCGTTGGCCGATCCATGGAACTCGTCCAAAACGCAACATTCCTGTTCAGCAATTAGGCGTCGAATACTCAAATGCTCCTCCAGAGCCCATTGGTGTGCCTCAAAAACAGCATAGTCGACTTCCTCCGCAATGTCGTCCAGCAAGGTCTCTTTCAACTTAGCTAGATTCAAGAGCCATGCATTGTTGACAACCCAAGAATCTGTACATGGCTTGCGCGCTGTGTGTGCGTACGCGCTGTGTGCGTACGGTGTGCGCGCTGTGTGCGTACGGTTCGCGCGGTGTGTGCGTACGGTGCGCGCGGTGTGTGCGCACGGTGCGCGCGGTGTGTGCGTACGGTTCACGCGAGTGTGCGCACATGTTGCGCGCGGGTGTGTGCGCATGTTGCGTGCGGTTGTGTGCGCCAGTGGTGGGTGCGCCAGTGGTGTGTGCGCATGTTGCGTGCGGTGTGTGCGTATGTTGCGCACGGTGTGTACGCAACAATGCACGCGCTGCGCCCCTATGGTGTGCTCGGTGGTGCCATGCACTGCAAACTTGGCATTTGTCTCCCAGCTGTACAGTGCAAGTACAAGTAGTAGCAGAAGTAGTAGTAATAGTAGTAGTAGTAGTAGTAGTAGTAGTAGTAGTAGTAGTAGTAGTAGTAGTAGTAGTAGGAGGAGGAGGAGGAGGAGGAGGAGGAGGAGGAGGAGGAGGAGGAGGAGGAGGAGGAGGAGGAGGAGGAGGAAAGTGGTGAGCTTGTTGTTTTTCAACCTAGGTTGGTGGCCTCTTATCAGAGGATCCCATAACTGCAGCTGTGTGTTTTGAAGAGGCCGACGAAGCCCCATTTTTTACACCACCTGCATAGTTTCACCTTGTAGCCTAAGATGGCCATGCCTGGCAGCAGCTGTGGTTGAGCAACCCCGCAAAGCCATTGCTGAATCTTCTTGCTCAGCTGAACGGTGGGCTCGTAATCCGACATACCCCGGCTTCTCCGGACCACCCCGAAACTCTCGAACACAAATCGCTCAAGACAGCCATGCCGATTGGACTCGACTGAAGCCAAGCTGCTCGATCACACGCACACAGTGGCACAACCCCACAGACTGCGCAAGCAACAAGCATGACACGCACTGCGCGCACCGACCACGCGCACTGCGCGCGCAGACTGCGCGCACCGACCGCGCGGAAAAAAACATAGCAAAAAACAGTTTTTTGCTATGTTTCCCCCCTGAAACATAGCAAAAAAGCTGTTTTTGCAAATTTCTTCCCGCACGGTCTGTGCGCGCAGTCTGCGCGACAGTGCGCGCAGTGTGTACGTACATACAGTGTGCACGGTCGGTGCGTGCAGCGCGTGCAGTCCAGTTAGCGTCACTCAACTCGCTCTCTCTCTCTATCTGTCTGTCTCTCTCTCTCTCTCTCTCTCTCTCTCTCTCTTTCTTCTTTCTCTCTCTCTTCCTCTCCCTCTCCTCCTCCCCTCTCCCTCCTCTCTCTCTCTCTCTCTCTCTCTCTCTCTCTCTCTCGCTCTCTGAGCTCTCTCTCTCTCTCCCTCTCTCTCTGTCTCTCTCTGTCTCTCTCTGTCTCTCTCTGTCTCCCTCTCTCTCTCTCTCGCTCGCTCGCTCGCTCGCTCGCTCGCTCTCTCTCTCTCTCTCTCTCTCTCTCT